CAGTTTTCAAAACTGAAAAACAGTGTAAAACGTCAATGTGAACGAACTGGCCAGTCGGATACCTACTTGATGATGGTTTCCGGGCTGGTGCAGTCCTCGAAGCGGATGGTGTAGCCGACCTCCTGGCCCAGCCGGCAGCCGAACTCCTCAGCCACGCGCTTCGCCACCGACATGGCGGCGACGCGGCGCGGCTGCGTGCAGCCGATCTTGCCGCGCGCCGTAAACCCCGCCTCCGCCAGGTACTGCGTGATCTGCGTCGTCTTGCCCGAGCCCGTCTCGCCAATCACGATCAAGATCTGGTTGTCGGTGACCGCTTTGCGCAGCTCCTCCTTCAGCTTGTAGATGGGCAGCGACTGGCGCTGCTCCACGATGGTGAGGTTCGTCTTCTTGCCGAACGACGACTTTTTGCCGCCGATCACGTGCTTCTTCCACTCGGGCAGGTCCTGCGCCTGCAGGCCGATGCCGCGCGCCGGCTGCGYCTTGGCMTCGTCGGCGGGCAGCGGGTCGATCCACGTCTTGCTCTTGCCCGCCGGCTGCGCGTCCACCTCCGCCTCGCGCTGCAGCATCTTCTGCTCGCGCCGCTCCTTCGCCAGCGCCGACTGCATCATGGCGGCCTGCGCCAGCGAGCCGTCGGGGTTTTTCACGATGCGCACGGGGCTCAGATCGTGCACGGCGCGTCCGTGCCCGTTGAGGAAGGGCGGCTCGTCCTCCACCAGCTCGATCTCGATGTCGGCCTCGCCGTCCTCCTGCTCTTTGGGCAGCAGCCCCGTTTCGTCGTCGAACTCGGGCAGCTCGCTCTTGTCGATGCAGCCGGAGGAGATCATCTGCTTGATCTCCCAGCGCTCGGGGCTGGAGAGGCGCGTCACGCGCTTCCGCGAGTCCTCCTCGTTCTCGTCCAGGCTGACTGGCAGGCGCAGCACCGAGGTGGCGTTGTGCGTCGGCCGGTCGGGGTTCCGATCTGCAACCCGATCGGGTATTAGTCATTATTCAGGTGGCGTTTTCCAGTTGCAAAGCAGTTGAGCGGAAAAAGGGCGGCACTTTTCAAAACCCAAAAACCGGGTGAAAAAGCCAAAATGCAGTAAATTATGTTTTTTTGAATGGTGCAAGCTGCAAAGGAGTTGAAATAAAAAAAGGGCGGCAGTTTTCAAAACCCAAAAATCTGGCAAAAAAAACAAAAACCGAATTTAAAACAATTAAATTTGGTGCATTTTGACTTTTTTGTCCGCTTTTTGGAATTTGAAAACTGCCGCCCTTTTTTCTCTCAACTCCTTTGCAACTGGAACCACTTTAAAAACAAAAACCCGATTTAAAGACAATTAAATTTGGTGTATTTTGCCTTTTTTGCCCGGTTTTTGGAATTTGAAAACTGCCGCCCTTTTTTCTCTCAACTCCTTTGCAACTGGAACCACTTTAAAAACAAAAACCCGATTTAAAGACAATTAAATTTGCTGTATTTTGGCAATTTTCTAATTATTCCAACGCCAAAACGCGTTACGAGCAAAAGGGCGTCCGTTTTCAAAACGGCCATAACTCCAAAGTGCTCGAACCGATTTCAACCGTCCAAAAACCAAAACGTAGCAAATTCAGTTGGTTCGGTTGAAATCGGTTGAAGAACTTTGGAGCTATGGCGTGTTTTTCACGGTTTTGAAAACTGGCGCCCTTTTTTGGCGCAACTGCTTTGCAGCTTAAATCACTTTGAAAAACAAAAACCGGATTTAAAACAATTAAATTTGGTGCATTTTGCCTTTTCTGTCCGGTTTTTGGCATTTGAAAACTGCCGCCCTTTTTTCTCTCAACTCCTTTGCAACTGGAACCACTTTAAAAACAAAAACCCGATTTAAAGACAATTAAATAAACAAAAAAATAAAAATAAAAAAAGGGCGGCAGTTTTCAAATTCCAAAAACCGGGCAAAAAAGCCAAAATGCAGAAAATTTAATTGTCTTTAAATCCGGTTTTTGCTTTTAAAGTGTATCCAGCTGCAAAGGAGTTGAGAGAAAAAAGAGCGGCAGTTTTCAAAACTCAAAAACAGGGTAAAACAGCCAAAATGCAGCAAATTTAATTGCCTTTAAATCGGGGTTTTGTTTTTAAAGTGGTTCCAGTTGCAAAGGAGTTGAGAGAAAAAAGGGCGGCAGTTCTCAAATTCCAAAAACCTTTCCACTTTCTACAAGAGTAAGAGTCGTTTCTATATAAGCCGTGTTCTACGGTCGACTGCATGCGCAACGTGTGGGCGCACCTACCTTTGTCCTCGCGCTCCTGAGGGGCGTGCGACAGCGGGTTGAGGTCGCGCCCGCTCACCTGGTCGACGTCCTTCATCGACAGCGACACCTTCTGGCCGGCGACGGAGAGCACCTTCACCTTCACCCTGCTGCCTCTGGCGACGATCTCCGACACTTGGGTGACGCGGCCCTCAGCGCGCAGCTGCGAAATGTGCACCAGCCCTTCCCAGCGGCGGCGCAGCCCCTCCAGCTGCACAAAGCACCCGAACGGCACGATGTTGGCCACTTTTCCGCTGTAGACTTT